ACACACACACACACACACACACACACACACACGTTTGTTTCTCGACCCCTTGGGGACCTTCCATTGACTAGTACCATTCATGTTTTTTAGACCATATAGCCTAATCCTGACCATATACTCTAAAATTTACCTCACAGAAACTTACCTGACCCTAAAACTAACCTAAACCTTGGTCCTAAACCTAACCCCACACCTGTAACATGCATTTGGACCCGTGGGGACCACGATTCACTTCAGTCCCCACCTGGCTGCTTTTTTTAATAAAAAAAATACCCCACGTTGTAGGAAAAACCCGTCCACACACACACACACACACACACATCTACATAACGCACAGCGCTCATAGTCTGCCTCAGTCTGCACCTGTTTTTTTACACCGGGCAAAAAAATGCATTTAAACCAGCTGAAGTTGAATTTAGATCACAGTTTGAAATGTACACCGAAGGAAAACTGCATCACAACTTTTATACTGCAGTCAGATCTAACGTGATCTGCAGCGTCTGTCTGCTGCACGGCGGCAGATCTAACGTAACAGCGAGAAAAGACCGAGAGCTTTATTTTAATCCAGCAGGGAGAACAATGCAGGTGTTCTTCTATGCCTCCTGTGAGCAGTTCCAGCATTTTTTAAAGGATAAACAACTCGGACACGCCAATTACAGTGCGGCTTCAAACCGAAAGTAAAAACATGGCGCTCGCTGCGCTCCCATTCGAAGTGAAACTAAACACACAGCTGATCTCTCTACAACTCATAGTCCGACACAGCAAACAGAAACAGCTAAATTAGACAGTTAAAACACATTAAAAGTTCATAACTCACCCTTATTTTTGTTGGCACTCAGTGGAGATTGTGTGCTGAGGCTGTCACTGTTAACAGTGAACACCAGAGGGCGCAATTAACAGCTTTCTTTGAGGCACCGAAATAAAGCAGCGAAATTAGAGTTGTGTTTTGGTCTGCGTACTACCGTTGATCTTCGCCCCGGTGCCATACTGGAACCGAGTTTCGGTACCCAACCCTATACAATATAGCAGCATTATTATTTTAAACAAAATATAATCAGTGGTTCTAATGCCAAAGCTGTTAAACACCCTGTTACTACTTGGCTGTTAAGGCTCCCACATACTCTGGCGTACATCGCTCCACGGAGGTCCGCACGGACTCAAAGCGGATGTCCGCCGGACTGGTCCGCGCAGAGATTAATTTTTTACGTCTGTGTCCACGGTGTCGCACAATAAACTGTCCGGCAAGTTCACATCGAACTGTTTTGGATGCGACACCAAGCAGATAAAGTTCAGAATCTGTCATTTGTGGACAAAATGGAGTCAAAATTTGAAGAGCGTCTTATGGAGGAGATTAGAAAACTTTGATTCATCAATGAAGGAATATATGGAGACATATTGTGATAAAGTTCATTATTTTCTGTAATGTACTGATAAACATTAAACTTTCATAT